CTCTCTCTCTCTCTCTCTCTCTCTCTCTCTCTCTCTCTCTCTCCCCCCCCCACCCACCCACACACCCACACACACACCCACCCACACACACACAGAGGCATGCACATTCACACACACACACACACACACACACACAGAGGCATGCACATTCACTTGCTGATAGAAAATGGAAGCCGGAATGAAGCCTTTCTTCTTGGGGAAAAAATATAATGAGCCGTCACTAGTGTGTGGTCTTGGATTCCAGGGTGATTCCTGACATGCATAACAAAAGTCATAGAAAATGAGTGGAGGAACCCATAGGCATTCAATTCGTTTATAACGACTAAAATTTCGGCAAATTTTGCTCTACGAAATCTGGAGCCCACGAGAGCCCACCACATGATTTGGGGCCGGCCACAGAAATTGGCCCCAAATACAGCAGTAATGACCATGCATTCTGTCAGAAAACGGTAGCCATCATAGTGATTTCATGTGTGTGTGTGTGTGTGTGTGTGTGTGTGTGTGTGTGTGTGTGTGTGTGTGTGTGAGAGAGAGAGAGAGAGAGAGAGAGAGAGAGAGAATAATCAAGTTGTCTAACATCACATCGTCATGCATTCTATCCGTATCGCATAATGTCAAACCTGCAACAGAAAAATCCTCCTGCTCCAAGAATTTCGGCAAGGAAAATCCCATAACCAGAACAATGGCAGTGTAGGTTCATGCACATTGATGAGGCCCATTCAATACACAGAGAAACCACTAAGCCTTAGGGTCTGTAACCCCGTACAATATGCAGCTGGGCATGTCTGTTTTGCAAATTGGAAATGTAGGAAGAACAGGAATCGGAAAGCACAACCAAGAGTGCCTTCCAAATTGCAATCTAAACTTCACAACCTACATCTCACTTTGCCAAGGAGAGGAGATGGAAGTAGCGAGTGGCTGGCCAGGACCTCATAACCCTCCAGCCCATCCACCCCACCAATCAGTGGCAATCACATTGTGCCATCTTGCAATCTAAACTTCACTGAAGCTGGACAGGACCTCGTACATCCACCAACCAGCCCATTCACCCCACCAATCAGTGACAATCACATTGTGCCATCTGACCAAGCCCCCATTCAAGTCCCAAACATGTCCTAATTTGATTTTCCCTCACCGCATGCAGTCAGTGAAAGCCAAACGTTTCACAGTCACCCTTATTCGTCGAGTAAGTACAGCGCGCGCACACACACACACACACACACACACACACACACACACACACACACACACACACACAAGGCTGTTTCAATATTGGATCTACTCATCTGGATCGAAAGGGGTTGCTGTGGTGACAGTCTAAATCACACACACACACACACACACACACACACACACACACACACACACACACACACACACACACACACACACACACAATGACAGGAGTCGGAACAAAGATCACACAAGATTCTATGTGGTACATGAACTTCTTTGAAAAGCATGAATAGAGCGAGAACAGAATGATTTGTGAGAGCCTACCAATGTCTATTGGGCAGCACACTTCGCAAGAAACTTGCATCGAAGAGATGACTGAAAGGCCCGTGTCCCAGATCATGGCATAACCCTGTGGTCAATCAAAGCCACAGTGCAATGTAAGCACAATCCCAATACATTTTCAGTCTTTTTTCATAACTGACTTTGCAACAATAGATACACTTGCCCAATTCCGCTCCATTCCTCACGCCCCTCCTCAACCGACCTCCAAGGTCCTTCCAAACAAAAACTGCATTCCCTTTGTCAGCCACCTCTCCTCCATTTATAACCACCTTCTGCTGTAGTTCTATTATTTGACCAGCTTGGTCTTTCCTTCTGCTGACAACTGGCTGTACATCCAAGGCTTCAAGCATGCAGCAGCGTAACCACTTACTCGATATGGGCAGCGACTCCCAGCAAGTGAGCCAAAATTCGCAATTTATGGCAAGTAACTGGATCAGCAGTATCAGAACAGGAGACGCGGATGTCACTCAGAGATGAACAAGGTTGGGGATGAGGAATTGGGGAGAGAGGAACCTCCTGAAGAGGTAGCAGCATCCGAAAACCATCACGCACGCATCAGCCTGTGGCCATGGTGGTCACTCAAATTGCTTTTGCCTGATTGATAGTGAACAAAGCGTATCTTTTTTCAGCTGTTTGTTCAAGGATTTCCTTCAACCGCCGTTTTATAGGCGTAAATAGCTCGACATATGATCTGTTGTCTGTCATTCCACCTTTTCTCTTTTAACTGCAGAAATTGTAATGTGGCAAGATTCTTGAAAACATGTGAAGCCCAACTTCACCAACTGGAAGATACTCAAACCCCGCATGCAATGTGACCAGGACAGAAGCAAGCAGACTGATGTCATCCCAATCATTGAGAGCAGAATTGTGCAATCCAACCGAGTCAAAATATGGCGAAGTCCTATCGCAGAGAAAAGCAGTCCTCAGATCAGATTTCCAAGACCAACGGCAGATCATGGATTCAAGCTCTCTCTCTCTCTCTCTCTCTCTCTCTCTCTCTCTCTCTCTCTCTCTCTCTCTCTCTCTCTCTCTCTCTCTCTCTCTCTCTCATGCTTCCTTGCAATTTGTGCTACTCAGATCGTAGACCTCGGGGCTGAGAGCTTCAACTATGTTGACTATGGTCTCCTTGCAAGGGCCTACAACACTGCACCACCTCCATGCTACAACCGTGGTCCTGTCGCACAGAAAGCAGTCCTCGGATTGGATTCTCTCTCTCTCTCTCTCTCTCTCTCTCTCTCTCTCTCTCTCTCTCTCTCTCTCTCTCTCTCTCTCTCTCTCTCTCTCTCTCTCT